TCATAAAACCAATTTGGCCGATGGACTTGATCTTCAGAATCTTCACAGAAACACCTTCAAAAGCTCCTCAAATAATGCAACAGCAAATTCTTGGCTTTCTCTGATATTTCTCTGGTTGTATATGAAAGTTGGTGGAAAAATATGGTAGAGAAGACGATGGTGGAAAAAGATGATCTGGCTCTTAGGTTAAAGGTTTTTATTTATAGGCCACGGGAATCCTTTAAAAATAAGGAAGATAATATTTATTTAGGAAGGAAAGGAAAAATAGGAATATTAGAAAAACCAATACCTATTCTCAAGAGGAAATAACATGCGGCTTTAAGTCAAAGAGGGAATTGGCTTAGGGGTTTTAAAGGAAAAATAGGAAAGTATTCTCTTAGGGTCCAGCCGATACCCATGCTTTGCTCCAAAAGTAGCTGACGATGGTAGCTCAATCAAAAAGGTAACCAACAATTGTTTCACAATTGCAAAGCCAATCAGCTTTTAATGATGACGATAGTGCAATTCTCATTCATATTGCTTTCTTTCCTTTCAGACCATCCCATTATTTTGTCATCTAGCATCTCTTGCAATTGCTCAGATGATGCAACCCACCATTTCTACAGTATCAGCAATTTACGTTGGGTTCTTCTTCATGAGAGAGGTATTAATGTGATGGTAAGCTTCTCTAACTCAATCTCTCTGGTGCTGGTCACTGAGACCAGTTGTGGATATAAATTGACACTTGCACAGATGCACTCCAGGTGTTTGATGAAATGACAGAGTGACTTCTTGAGATTTTGTTGAGATGATAATTCCACCCATTTTGATCCCTTAAGCTTCCAAAATTATAGTTTTTGCTCCAAAGCCTTGCTAAGTATGATTTCCTACAAAATCTTCACTAAGCACATTAAACTAACCAATTTCACACGAAAATAGTGCAAATAGAGATAGATTATATACGCAAAATATGAATATATCAAACTACCTCAAACCTATCTTTTGCTAGTCCTCGAGCAAAATTAGAATTTAAAACAAAAACAAAACGAAACGAAAAACTAACTAAACCACTTTCGCAGGTAAACTCGATGGCACTTAGCATGTGCCACAAGCCGTTAAACCTCTAGGTGTCCCTAGTAGGAGGAGTTGTGTCTCCTGAGGGTTTACCAGTTACGATACCCACAAACGTTTTACTACAAAACAAAGTCATTAAATACACCACTTTAAGCAAGCTAATAAAAACCAATGCATGCCAATCATATTTGCATCACTACAGCTATGCCACTTTAAGTAAATAAATTATTGGTATGGACGATAAACCCGCACCATACTTTAAATAAATGTAAATGTACGGTAAAATAAATTCATAAATTAAATTGCTTGTAAATAAATTGCTGGTATGGAAGATAATCCCGCAACATACTTTAAATAAATGTAAATGTGCGATAAAGTAAATTCATAAATTAAATTACTTGTAAATAAATTGCTAGTATGGACGATAATCCCGCACGATACTTTAAATAAATGTAAAAGTGCGGTAAAGTAAATTCATAAATTAAATTGCCTCATGTATGGACGTTAATCCCGCACCATACCTTAAATAATAATAAATATGCGATAAAGTAAATTACTTGCTATATAGATGTTAATTCTGCACCATACTTTAAATAATAAAGTAATGTGTGATAAAGTAAACGTGCTTGTATAGGCACTAATTCTACTCCATACTTTTAAATGAAAAGTAAATACAGTTGTGTGGACAATAAACCCGCATCACACTTTTAAATAAATATTGCTGTATGGGTAATAAACCTACTTCATACTGTAAATAAAATAAATGTGGGGATAACACCACCACCTAATACATATGAAGTATATAACATATTATATATTGTGGGCAATATAACTGCGCCACTGTTCATATTATATAATAGATGAGGCATATAACAAAGAGGAGAAAAAGAAATAACCACATAGTGTTGAGCTGAGAAAATTTAGAAGTAAAGGAGAGAGACTATCGTGCTGATAATGTGTTATAAAAATAAAAATAATAGAGTATGAAAAGTACCATTGAATATTGGGAGTAGAATTGTATTTGCTCTTGTGATGTTTATACTAACAGAATTTCCTCTCAGATAGAACTCACTCTCTTTTGTTTCCTCTCACTCTTCCTTTCTCTTCTTTCTCCATTGGTGTATTTTACAAGTGAATGAGCCAACCTATTTATAGGAAAATTGGATGGCTTCATTACCCAACATCATCATTAAGCTTTTGACTAATCTTCCTTCTTTTCCAACACCATCATTTCTCTTTATGTGGGCTTCATCTATATTATTTACAACAAATCTCTAGTTTTTAATTTTTGAAATGGAAGTATTGGGCTTGTCCATGGAATTATTGGCTTTGTTGGGAATCGGTTGTGCAGGTGAGGTGGGGATGTCAAGTTTATGGGTTATGTAGTGGAGATGGACTGTTGCAAATGAAAGAGGGAGATATTTGGGATGTCTAGAGAAGACTTTGGTTGGATAGGGACAAATCTTTCCACCGAGGAGGAAAGTGGTTGGAATGGCCGGGATGTTGGTTCTATAGAAGAAGGGGTTTTGTTTTTGTTATTGGGTTGCTGGGTTGTTTTTCAATTTTTATTTGAATTTTTTTTATAGCTTTATTTATTTATTAATTGTTTACATGTTGGAGGTGAGCTCCACTTTGCTACGTCACCTATTCAAGTTGGTGGGTAAATTGGCCACATGTATGGAATTACAAAAATATCCATATCATGTCAGTAATTTTAACAAACATTTGGATGGAGTCGACAATGGGGGGCCAAAGTGAAACGTAAAATATCAGTCAATGGGGCAATGTGGGTCACCTTAACTTTTAAGGGGCAATATGAGATTTGACCATATTTTCAGGGAGCATTATAGTAAATAAGCCTTAGTAATTTTAAGGACATCTGAGACATTATGTATTCTTCTTGTGGAGCCTTATGACATGATGTTTTGTTTAATTGGTTCTTGTGTATTCTTCTTATAGCAATTCTATGAGATGTAGGTGAACTAATTGCTTGCAATTAGCTTGTACTTAGTAGCATGCAATAGTCATCTTCTTAAGTTGTCTAAGAAGTGGAAATTATTTGGGCCTTTAAAATTCAAATTTGTTTTTTATTGCTTGTTTATTTCTATTTTTTTTTTTTATCGTCATTCTATTTTATTACTTGTGCCATTTTATTGCTTTGTGGTGGACAGTTAGCTTCACTCTTAATATAAGGCTACTTGTTTAGGTGATTGTATCTTTCCCCTAAGTTCACCTAAGCTGGACAATTCCAGCACTTACCAGCATCTGGATCTTGTTAATCACCATTGGGTTCTTTGACACCCCACTAATTTAGATTTAACCAGCAAATCTCTACTAGAATTAACTCAACTAAAAGATCACGTTGTCGTCAGTATAATTGGGTAATAATCATTTTCAGCATAATAGTTAGCTGAAGTCAGAAAAAATAAACAAACAAACAAAAAAGAACTCTTGCTTCAAAATTAGAATTGGAATTCACAGAAAAAGAATTAGAACTGCACTTAATTACTATGTTCAAACACAAAAATCCCAAGAAGACAACTATGTTAATCATTCAAGTGTTAAAACAAGACCTAACATCATTGCTATGGGCATTAAGGATTTTTTATCCCCTTGTTAATTCCTTTCAGTTTTAACTTTTAACATTTATGAGACTATTGCCATTGCCAAAACCATTCAATCTTATTGCATTTCACCTTTTTTTCCTTGTACAACATACAAAAATCCAACTAAACTCATCATCGGCTCATCAATCAAATTGAAAAGAGTCAACATTAAGAACTCATTTGATAAAACTTTTCCATTTTCAAGGTTTAAAGCATGAGACATGTAGTAATGAAAAAAAAAAACAAGAAAAAATAGAAAAATCTTAAAGATAAGTCAACTATGCAAAAGAAATGTAACCATTGTATAACAAAATAGAAAAAGCTCACATAAAACATACAATGTAACCAAACATACAGAACACAGACCAATTTTCCCAAGATGCACTGATGGTTGTTTTAAGATAAAAGACCAACAAAAAGTAGCAGTAGATTCTGAGGTCGCATTTGTATCTACTGCAATGTGTTATATTCCAACATTTGAAACGAGCTCAACCAAACCAGTTAGTACAACAGTGGGCAGTCACTAGCTGCAAAAAAATTGACAAAGAAATGGGTCAACCTCATATGGCCAAAAGAACATGCTTATTCAAAGGCAAAATGATGTTAAACATTTACAGAAAGACGAAGTTTTCAGCATGGCATATCTACAGAGAATTTATTCAATGGATATTTCTTTAAAGAACAATCTATCGAATCTCATAA